TAAATTGTAAGTGTTATCGTTTTTTTACCTAACAGACGTGTTGTCAAAGTTTCTGTACATTGTCTTTACAATGCAACCAGACACCCACTGGCAAAAAATTTTCCAATGCATGAAGACTAATTACTTTTAATTAAGGCTTGGCGGTTATTATCAGTTGTTTTGACTGTTATCATTTTCTAAGGGATAATAAACCCGAGGAATACTGGCATTATATTCATCACATTGATGGTCATCTCACCCTCCAAGTCTTGATGCAGCGAGGTCCAAAAGTTATTCCCTTATAGATACATATATATATTTGAATCATCTAGACATGAGGTTCGAGAAACACAAAGCGGGCAAATTGGGAAAATTAAAGGTAAGTAAATCTTTCTTTATTATATTCAAAATGAATACTTATTTAAAGAATGCGGGGTAATTAATTTTCATCCTTTGTTGTCAGCTGCCCAGCATAAGGAACCACAAGATGAATTCGGTTTCGGACAAAATTTCGGAACTGGATGAAAATGATGATGCACAGCAACATATATTCCAACATAACAAATTTTTGATTATTCACCGAGAAAAGATTTTTTCTCGTGTACAACTTTTCGGTTCTAGAGCAATTTTTCTTCAACACGATAAAGGAATTTGCGATTTAGGTTTCTTAAATATGTGGATCATCTAACTAAGACAACATGCAAAAAATACGATATTTATTCAGAATTTTCCGGAAAGGATTTGTACGCTAATTCTTAAGCAACAATGTAATGATTCGAATCTAATGTTGATTTATGAATCCGAAAAGTTAGTTTGCCGACTTTAAACATACTCTGACAAAAGACCCAACGTAACAAGTTGCGTGAAACTTAAGACTCTCAGATTAATTCTTTTTAGCTTATTTGCCGTACAACTCAAATTGCAAGACTCGCAAAAGAATTATAGGAAGTCAGCTTTGTGTTAGACTCAGAGGTGAGGAGAGAGCAAAATATACGGAACATATTCACAAGTCACGTAATTTCCATCTTGAATGTGTGACTCGTTTTATCTAATTCTACACACTGTGGAGTAAAATGGGAATTCAAACGGCTTCCATCTTTTGGCCCAACTGTCTGATTCCGAACAGCATGAAAAGGGTCCCCCCCTGACCTTGCCATAAAAAAATTTAAAGATGTTTCCAATTTAGTTTTAAATGTAACACAAAAAAGCTGACAAAATCCATGGTAAACAGATTAAGAATAGCGGAAAGTAACCATGATTGTTTTGGCCAAAAACTCAATTGTAAAGCAACTGTTTGGGCATGGCTAAAAGACACAGTTTCGTTACTTCCCTCCTTTTTTTATCCTACGGCAGATCCAGAGGTCTGAAATGTGGAATAAACTATTAATCGATAGGAAACTGATTCAGATTAAAAAAGTCGACTAAATGGTCGAAATTCGAGAGTCTATCCAAGAAAGCGTAAGGCGCGTCAGAAAGCACCCCGCT